AGGAGGTAGGAGAAGGTCCCGAGAGACCCGATAATCGTAGAAGGATAGGCGGATTCGAAACGGGTAACGCGAGTACTTCTCTCAGGGACAAAAGATTTAAGCGGGATTATAGAGACCTGGTAAACACCAATAGGGGGTCGGCGCCATTGGACGGCCCCAGGTTTAAGATTTCGCGACGAAACGAAGGATTAAACGTCGGCTAAGGGTTCAAAAGTAGAGTGGGCAAAGGTCCATAGGGTCGGGGTCGTCGGCGGACGACCAACTTTTAACCTAGACATCTTTCTCAGGAGAGTCAGTCGGGAATAAGTCGAGAGGCATCTTACTAAGCGTGCGCATGAGTCGGCGTCGTCGGCGGACGACTAACTTTTAACCTGGACATCTTCTCCGGGGAAGTCGGTCGGAAATAGGTCGGGAGATATCCTACGAGGCGTGCGCATAGGTCGGCGTCGTCGGCAAACGACCAACTTTCCATCCGGACATCTTCTCCGGGAAAATCGAGTAAAAACGTATTGAGGAGCTTCCCCGCGAGCTTGCGCACGGGTCGGCGTCAACGGCCGGAGCCGTTTCCAAAAGTGAAAACCAGGTGCAGCGGCACCGTCGGTGGACATCCTATACATGGTACCCAGCGTGGAAATTTCCGTGCGAACGCAAAAACATGCAAAAAATGGGTAAAAAACGGTTGACGTCATAGCGAAAGTGGAATAACAACCCACGAGTAGGGATAGATCGCCGGAGTGGGGGAACCTCTGACACGGTGGGGAGCCCAAGCGAAGCCCAAGGCTCGAGGCAGTCTTTCGTGGGAAACCGTAGCGTGCGGAAGTAATACGAGCAGCTTCTTAAAAACGGAAACTCCCGCGTCACACAACGCGTAAAATTCACTCGTTACAGCGGCGAGAGGTACACGGTTACCTGAAAACAAAAGATTGTACGCAATTAAGCGCATATTTGACTCTTGAATACGATTCTAGTATATAACAATCGGGACATTCTGGATACTTCATAGATTGTGAGCCGACAGACAGAGACCGATCGCGTGTAGAAATTTAATAATTGTGCAATACATTGTGATTAATAAAATCAACGACAAGAAAGGAATAAATCAATTTTGTGAAATTTAAAACGACATAGAGTGTCATACTTACCATATACCTATACTTACCTTGTCCCTCGACGAAGATCCATCGGTTGTCCCACGTAGTCTTGGTATGCGGTGAAGCGAGGATCCGGGCAGTGCAGCAACGACGATCCAACGAAGTCGGGAATCTAACACAAGGAAGTAGTGTGAAAGGGGGACATTAATTTTTACACTTACCTCATACTTACGTTGTCTCTCGGCGAAGTCCCATTGGTTGTCCATCGTAGTCCTGGTGTGCGGCGAAGCAGAGATCCGGGCAGTGCAGCAGCGACGAGCCAACAAAGTCGGGAATTAAAAACAAAAAAGGGGACATTAATTGTCGTACTTACCTTATACTTACCTTGTCCTTCGGCGAAGCTCCAGCGGTTGCCCCACGTAGTCCTGGTATGCGGTGCAGCGAAGACCCGGAAAGGGCGGCAGCGACGATCAGCAGAAATTGGGAACCTGAAACAGGGAAATGGTTAATAGGAGGGAATTGCGAAATCGATACTTGCCTGATACTTGGGTATACATATGTCCATCGTTGTCCCGCGTAGACCTGGTATGCGGTGAAGCGAGGATCCGGGGAGTGAGAAGCGAGTACGAGACATCAGGCGCAGCAACTTAAAATAAAGGGGAACCAAGTTAATAGACCTTCTCGGTACTTATCGGTGAAACCGAGTGGCGACCGTGCGATAAGAAGATATAATTCGACAACCGTGCCTTCCAGTAGCCGTGTCCGGTTACAACGGTAGCCACCGTATATATAAAGGAACGCGGACGCGAGCAACCAACTAATCGTTATCCGACCTGTGACGCGAGTGGTACCATTAATACGGGTGACCGAAGAGTCACGATGGACCAGCTGTCGACGAACCGACGTATATTTAGCAAATAAATTAAAAATTATTGAAAATTAACTAACCTAATCGTTTAGAAATCATTTAGAGATATTTGGAAAAAACTTTGGTAAAAGTTTACAATAACTTACACAGCTCGGATTACTTTGACCTTGACATATGTTGTCAAGGACATAATACTGAGTAACTTTTCCTTATAACTTAATCGGCGGTCGCTTTTTATTAAAAAATTATTAACAAAAAAAAAATTTGGCGACCTCACCGATTTCAATGACCTTGATATATGTTGTCAAGGTTATGACCCCGAGTGACCTTCAGAAAGTTTTAGCCGTTGCTCGTTATTCGTTAAAACGTTATTAACAAAAAAAGTTTGGAAAATACGTAAGTTAGATGACGCGCTTTACAAGTATTTAACTGTTTAAAGCGCGTCACTAATCTACATAGGTTAGATGACGCGCTTTAACAGTATTAAATTGTTTAAAGCGCGTCAACTAACCCATGCGTAAACTATTTCGGGGCTATCGCACCTCTCCCGAAAGCAGGGGGGGTGTGGGTGAATCTCGGTTCGCGTGAAAAGTATATGCGTGAACTATTTCGGGGCTACCGCACCTCCCCCGAAAGAGGAGGGGGTGTGTGGTTGAACCTCGGTTCGCGTGAAAAGTGTATGCGTGAACTATTTCGGAGCTACCGCACCTCCCCTGAAAGCAGGGGGGGTGTAGGTGAACCTCGGTTCGCGTGAAAAGTGTATGCGTGAACTATTTCGACATATATATTAGTCATTTATGCCTTCCAATACTCAAAATAGCTGCTATATTTTTCAAACTTTTTTTGTTTATAACTTTTTAATAAGCAGCGACCGCCGACTAAGTTATAAGGAAAAGTTACTCAGTATTATGTCCTTGACAACATATGTCAAGGTCAAAGTAATCCGAGCTGTGTAAGTTATTGTAAACTTTTACCAAAATTTTTCAGAGTTTGGAAAACCATACAATAATCACAATTAATTAAAATCAATTAAGCGTATAATTAGCAGAAAGTTTCTAAAAAATATTTTGCAGATACTTTTATTGGTACGATGCCCTACACGGAATGAGGGAGGTTCCAGGTTCGAATCCTGGCTGAGGTAATATTTTTCGCAATTTTAAATTATTTTAAATATGAGATGTTTATATGTAACTATCAAAGATTATTAACGTATTGACGACGAGGACCAAAACCAATGGTCGAATCGTCACGATTGTGTGCCAATTATAGCCAAAGAAATAAAAAATTTAAAAATTGTTAATAATTTAATCATCCGCAGTGTTTCGTACGATACCTAAGGAGGCCTCAGGGCACGAGAGATACCGGCACCGCCCTGACAAGGGCGCGAGGCGTTAGGATGATCTCGTTGAGGAGTGGACTGCGGTTGAGTAAACTGACACTGAGTTGGTTTTACTGTCACTTTAATTTCCAACAAAAATGAGCTTGCGGGGCGGACGGCGATAGGTCGCACTGGTTGTTATTCGCGTCGAAATTTCGCGCTATGCTGGCCCTTGCTCGGGCGCTCGGCGTGCGGTAGTGAGACCGAACCGTTGGCGCGAAAATTGTTTCACGACGATAACTCAGAGCGACCGATTTGTCGTACGGCTGAACAGATTGTGCTGTTGAGGATTGCTCGCGTTTGCCCTTCTTCCTGACCCCGCTTCGTAGCGGGGGTTTCGATGATTCGTGAACATTAAGTAAACGCGTGCGCGCTTTCTCTTGAGCGTGTCGTGAAAGCGGGATCATTGGGCCGTGTTTTGGGAGGATCGCTTCGATCACGATGATCGCGCGTGGCTGCGCCAGGACCGCGCTCGCGGAAACACTGCTCAATGCTCTCGTTTTTCACTCGATCTTTAACATACCGCCCGCCTCGGAACTTTAGTTTTGAAACGTTGCTTTTGGTTAGAATCCGAAGCGGACGCTGCGTTAAGGGTGTTGCATTCGGGCCGAACTTTTACTAGCTAAATTAACGCAAACTTACAAGCTTAAATCGCTGATGAACTCTATTTATAATTTATTTAGACTATTTACAATGCGGGTCAGCGGTTTACACTCCGCTGATCGCCCGCCGTGATGGATTCACAGAAATCGCCTGCTGAGCAAATGCACTTTAATTTTCACAGATTAATCAGAGCTGGTCTCGCAATCGACAAGTAGTATGCACAATTTCACGATGGGCCGCTTATACTCGGACGTGGCTGTCTTAACGGTTACGACTCGGATTAATCCATCGGCGCCGGCGTGACATTCCGTGATGCGCCCGAGTTCCCATTTACAGGGCGGTAACGTGGCGTTTCGTAGTAGCACGAGTTGGCCGATTTTCACAAGTGGCTTGATTCTTTGCCATTTAAATCGTTGCTGTAAAGTATTTACATAATCATTTCTCCACAGTTTCCAAAATCGCTCGGTCAGGTGACGCACGCGTTGCCAACGTGACAACCGATTTTCGTTCAGATTTAACAACGACGGCTCGGGACTCACCGTGATTGCGGACCCCTTTGACTATATAACCATGGACTGCTAGTTGGCTGTTTTTGATGTAAAGAACATCAAGCGCGCCCCCATCGCACAAGTGGCGACTCCCGGTACTTCAATGAACTGTGAGCTCTCTCTCAGTCTGCTCCAGTAGCTCACGTGTGACAGCCAGTGACAGCTAGACTTGCGTTATCGGGTTTCGTATTCTCGTATAACAATGGTTGTTTATTGTTTTATTGACGGTTGCAAATGAACCAAATATAAAGAAGTAAAAGAAGACAGCAAGATTTTTTTAACATTTTTTGGGTAAGTTATTATAATTTATCGTAGTCTAATCTAAAATATGTGTCACATTTTAAAAGAGTATTTTGTATTTGAAAAAGTAAGTGTTAAAATTGCTTGTATTAGACATATAAAATGTTTCTTTAAATTTAAATGTTATGACATAAAATATATATTAATGAATTAATTTGATTGGTATTACTGAATAGATTTCCAAAGAACCCGAATTTTCGAAAGAAGTGGGAAGAAGCACTTGTTAATTCCGGTCATACTCAAGAACGTATGGCAAAGATATCGAAATATAGTTACATATGTAGCCTACATTTTACAGAAAACTGCATCGAGAAAACTGGATTTTCATGTCGGTTGAAATCAAACTCTGTGCCAACAATATTTCCAAATGCACCGAAAGAAAAGTATGTACTAATGTCAGTATATGATTAAATTTGTTGGAATATTTTGGGTCACTTTTTCCGTGTTAATCTCTAACTGACAGTTAACTTTCAAAATAGCCAATTTCTATTGACTATTTTGCAAAGTCAGTTAGAGGTTAACAGACGTGTGAAATAGTGACCCTTTGTCTCTTATTTCATTATATATTATTTGTACATTTTAAATGTTATTTTTCTTAGTACGGCTGATCTGGAGAATACTGAACCATCTAATATGCCATCCGTAATATTTGAAAGTATTAGTCAACGTGAAGAGGAAATTTATGAAACTCCCTCAAAAAAGCGAATGTGCTATGCAGGTGATATAAAAACAGCAGAAATGAAAAATATGTCACCGAGGACGTTAATTAAAGCGATGGAAATATTAAAGAGGTCATGCAACAAGAAGGACAAAATAATTAATCGATTGAAAGTACAACAATATCGCCAAAAGAAAAGAATTGACAGCTTACAGACCTTATTGTGTGAACTTCGTACAAAGGGTCTCCTTTCTGCGACTTCATCAGACATTGTACAGGTATTGAAAAGTCTTCTTTCTTTTCTTGGGATTTATATGGCTCCACTTTCTTGCAGGGCGTGACACTGCCAAGAATCTTCGTGGGGTATAGGAATTGATGCGATTCAACTACTCTTCAAACTCGAAAATGTATATGTGTATGTGCGTAATTGTGTGTGTGTATGTCTACGGTGTTGGAAACTTGGAACAATTCGTAGGTGCATTGGACACAAGGAACTGCGCGGATCAATTCCCCCTGCGGCCAGGGTATTGAAAAGTGGAAGCACAAAATATTTCTATAAAGCCAGAAAAATTTGATTATGAAAATAAACATCTGATTACGTGTGTAAGATGTATCATTACATTTAATTGTACATTTTAATTTACAAAACTGATCGGAAACGTCTGCCCTATAGCAATTGACATTAAGTTATAGCTTATAAGTTACGCACCAATAACCATAATTTGGGCAATTGTGAGTGCAATTACCCAAATTGTAATCCTACTTTATTGGTTTTATCATCGAGAGCCTATAAATGTATTATTTTCATATTCAATTTACAAAGTTATTTGTGAGTATTTGTGAGTAATTGTGTTAAATAATTGTCAATGCCTTACAAAAATTGAAAATAAATATTTTATGTAATTGTACACTAGTCATAAGTAACTGTAATCATAAATTTAATCATAAAATAATATTAATAAAAAAATAAAATTGTAACATTAATTATGATATAATACAAATAATACAAATAATTATTGTACAGTTACATATATTCTTTAAGTTATACAATAAATGTTTATGAATATTCAGCTGCATATTGTGGATATTTATTATTTTGTTTTATAATATTCAATAGGCCGTTGCAGATGACTCTTCAATAATGAGACAAATAGAACAAGGAAAGATTAAAGGGAAGTATCCACCTCAGTTAAGAGCATTTGCTTTAACCGTAAACTTTTATAGTCCCAAAGCTTACAATTACATTCGTCAAGTTTTTCGAAATAAACTACCGGCTCCGTCAACAATTCGAACATGGTACGGTTGTACTAAAGGATTACTTGGTTTCACCGAAGAAACTGTGGAAATATTAAAAAGAAAATGTGAAGCTGCTGGCGATAAAAAATTATTTGCTTGCTTAACAATGGATGAGATGGCTATTCGACAGCAAGTCGAGTGGAATCGTACCGAAAAAAGATTTATCGGATATGTCGATTATGGGATCGTTGTAGAAGAACCGGAAGATTTACCTATAGCTAAAGAAGCATTGGTATACCTCATAACTTGCATTAATGAGCGGTGGAAGATACCCGTGGCCTACTTTTTTTTGGCTGGGTTAACAGCTGAAGAGCGAGCCGAAATTACGAAGAAGGTTTTAGAATTTGTAGCACAATCTGGAGTTAAAATTATTGCACTTACCTTTGATGGACTTCCAGCAAACATCTCTATGTGCAAACAATTAGAAGCAAACGTCCTTAATAACAAAGCCTTCTTTAAACATCCAACAGAAGGAGACGATATTTTAATATTTCTAGATGCTGCGCATATGCTAAAATTAATAAGAAATGCATTTGGATCAAAGCGCATATTGTATGATGCATACAATAATGAAATTAATTATAAATTTATTGAGAGGTTAGTACAATTGCAGAATGCAGGGTGTTTTCATTTAGCGAATAAAATTAACAACAAACATTTACAGTGGAGGAAAAATAAAATGAATGTTAAACTAGCTGCTCAAATGCTCAGTGAAAGTTGTGCAATAGCATTAGAGCAACTGCTACATGATAAACACCCTGACTTTCTAGGCTGCGCTGCAACTGCCAAATTTTGCCGAATGTGTAATAATGTATTCGATTGTCTAAATTCGAGAAGTAAATTTTCGAATTATTTTAAAAAACCATTGAGTGTAAGTACCGCCGCAAAAATTTTAGATTTTTTTGAAGAAGCCATAGACTATTTTTCAAACTTAAAGTTAGAAATAAATGGACCTTCAATAACGACAACAAAAGTAAAAACTGGGTTCCTTGGGTTCATAGTAAACATGAACAATTTAAAAAAAATGTTTCATGAGTATGTAGAGACTGGTTACTTAAAATACATACTGTCATACAAGTTATCTCAAGACCATCTAGAGATTTTTTTCTCGTCTATACGATCTATGGGAGGCTACAACAATAATCCCAATTGCATGCAATTTCTATCGGCATACAAACGGTTACTACACCATAACGAAGTTAAATCATCAGCACAGGCAAATTGTATTGCGCTCGACAATACGAGTATTTTAACGGTGTCATCGTCGGCAAAGAAGTTATGTACGACATATGAAGCTTTGGACACTGTGGAAGACGATCGTAATGTAGTCGTGGATGATATTCCTCTTGAAAAGATTTCTTACAGTTTACACCACGCTGTATCATACATTGCAGGCTTTGTTGAGTTAAAAATTTTAAAAAAGTTGAAATGTTGTACATGTTTCCAGCTTTTAAATGAATGTGATGAATTTAACTCCGAATTCATTAACAGAAAGAGCTTCGGCTTTTTAAGATATCCCAGAATTGACACATATAAAATAGTTACAGTTTGCGACAAAATTTTTAATTTGTTTAAATTAGAAGATAAATTAAAAATGAGGAATATTATTCCTAAAATGGTATACGATACTTTCCAAAATTTAAATTGTGATAATTTATTTTTAAATTTTAACGAGCATATTAAGGATTTAGATATATTAGAAAACCATAAATATATTTTAATCAAACTAATAATAATATTTTATTTCGAAATTAAATTGTTTTACGAAGGTAAAGTAATTACCATTAGCGAGCAAAAAAACTTAATAAGACGTAATTTAACAAAAGCCGTCATTTTCAGCGGGCAATAATCTTTGCCAATATTATTACCTTTGACTATATAACCATTGGTTATAATATTATATATAAATTATGTAGTTTCATACATACTACACATGAGATCCGTTGCTATAATTTTTATTTTTTCTCAAGCTGTCAACCTAATCGCTATTCTCAGTAAGTAGAATATATATAATCCGATTTTTTTTTTAAACAGTAATATCATCTCCTGATGACGCGTGACTCCGTGACTGCTTAAGAGGTGAACTTTCTTTAAAAAAGAAAAGTTAAGGATTAAAGATTCGCATGAATTAATAATACGTTTTTAACAGATTACTACGTTTGAAAAATTCAAAAGATTACTAATCCCTCACGTGTTTATGGCCGTATAGGCGAAGTAGGTACTGCCTGGGCCATTATATATATATAAGGTTGAAAGATTGATTGATATCATCTCGCATAAATATATCTTACATATATTTTATATCATATTAATGATCTTTCTTCTTCTAATATTGAGAAAACTGTTTAAATATCTGTATCGATTATATATTATTGTCTACAAGAATGATATTTTTTATATACTTGGCGCGATACACTATATTGTGTCTTTTGATATTTTTATATATATCTTATATAGTTTATTTGATAATAAAATATATCGTTTAACATTCTGTATTTATTTTGTTCTTATAATTTAATCACTTCTAATTTTCTAATGGGAATATATTAACAGGACTACCTGCGTGTAAGTATTATATATACATTGTATATGTATATATACATATATAAAACTAATTTAGTCTTTATTTGTATTAATTTTTTAAATACATATTCTAGCAATCTGCTAAAAGTTGATAAAACAGCGATGAACGACTTATTCTGTCTCTCTCTTTCCTCATCTTTTACCATCAGGATCTTACTTAATGTTTCGATTTTCTGCCACCTAGACGATGAGGGCGCGTTTTATGTCTTTTACACATCGAAGCATTGTGAGGATAGATAACTGGCAGTCCATGGTTATATAGTCAAAGGCGGACCCGATAAGGAAATGACCGGGTGTGAGAGCATCATAATCGTCTAACGTATCTTTCAAAGCCGCGAGTGGGCGAGAGTTGAGGCAAGCCTCGATTCGACATAACAGAGTGGTGAATTCTTCGTACGTTAACGTATGATTTTGCAGTACACGCCGAATATGATGCTTCACACTGCGAACTCCGGCCTCCCACAATGCGCCGAAATGCGGAGCGGAGGGGGGGGGGGGAGAAAATGCCAGGTTGTACCGTCCGACGCGGTCGAATTTTGAAAATTCGGATCGTTTAACGCTGCACGATACGCCCGGGATAACTCTCTCTCCGCGCCAACGAACGTTGTGCCGTTGTCGGAATGCATCGACTCCGGCAATCCGCGACGAGCGCAAAAACGTGAATAAGCGTCTAGAAACGCTAGGGCGGAGTAATCGCCGACTAATTCGAGGTGAATGGCGCGAGTCGCGAGGCACACAAATACCGCGATATAGACTTTCCGCGATGTAATCCCTCGGCCTCCGGAAGCTCGCACATACACCGGCCCGGCGTAATCAACACCGCAGTGCACGAAACTGCGGAGAGGGGGAGATACTCGCAGGGGCGGAAGATTCCCCATGAGCTGCTGTGGTAAAACGGCCCTTTCGCGTGTGCAGACCACGCACTTGTGTATTACTGATCTCACCACACTTCGCGCTCGCAAGACCCAAAAGTCTTGTCGAAGCGTGGCGAGCGTCAGCTGCGTGCCCGCATGAAGCGCTCTCAGATGAGCTTGCCTTATTATCAGGGTGGCTAGCGGGTGTGATCCCAGTACGATAGGATGCTTAACGTTGAATGGAAACGGTGCATTTTTTAGTCGCCCTCCTACTCTGAGCAAGCCGTCAAAATCCATGAAAGGGTTAAGGGAGAGGAGGGGACTTTTTCTCCTTATTGGGTTATTACTCGAGATCGCGAGAATTTCTTTGGGAAATAACTCAGCCTGAATCTTCTTTAACCATAACGTCCGCGCGCGCCGACATTCATGAGCTGACAACGCGACTTCCGTGAGGCCGGGCCTGGGCGCGGTTTTATTGATACGGCGACAACGCGTTACGAACCTTAAAATGTACGCAGTGACGCGAATGAATTTAGGCCACGATGAATATCGAAGGGCCAGATCCCATAGAGCTGGCAGAGTTGCTAAATGCGCGGTCGACACTCTTTCTTCGGGAGTCGTTGCTGACGAGTTTGATACGGGGTTTTTTGGCCAACAATCGGGCGGAGAACTGAGCCACTTAGGGCCGGTCCACCATAAAGCATGCTTCTCGAGTTCTCCTCCGAGGAGGCCGCGCGATGCGCAATCCGCGGGGTTCTCGTTGGTCGAAACGTGCTACCAGGGGACGTTTGGAAGTTGAGATTGAATGTCGGCGACGCGGTTCGCGACGAACGTCTTCCATTTTGAGGGGTGCTGGCGGAGCCAGGCTAAAACCACTTCCGAGTCGATCCAACAGTAGCGCGCGGAAATCTTAATGTCTATCGAATTAAGGACGAAAGTCATCAATCGGGCCAGCAGCAAGGCAGTGAGCAGTTCTAACCGTGGAATGCTTAGAGTTTTCACCGGCGCGACTTTCGATTTGCCCATCAGTAGCGAGATCGTAATATCTCCCGACGGCGACACGACGCG